AGCTCTACTTCCTAAAACAGCGACAGTAGTACCGCAGCTATCTTGCCAGTACCGTCATCTAATGATGCATAACTAGACACATAGTCGGTAGTAATTCCACATTATCCTGAAACAGTCTACTAGTATGCAGTGACAGATTATGTAAGAGAAGAAAACAATTTAAAACTGTACCAATACAGATTGTGTACCACTAGCAGTACCAGTAGTCCTCGACTGTGTATTCTCTAGGCTTAGTACATGCGCTTGTTCGCTGTTAGATAACCGAGGCCCTTCTTAGACATTTGTATGCATATGATTGTGGAAGTGTTTCTGCTGTACAACACCTTGCCAGCGACCCCCCCCCCCCCCCTGTGCACATACTGTGCTTTGAAACCCCCCTCCCATTGTGTTTATATATAATTTGTAGTCCACACATTCAGTTGACTAATATGTAACCCTATAGCACTCATTCATATTCCTAAATAAGCAGATAGCCTGTCTATATCCTGTGTAGATCTCCATAACACTATCCTATTATACAGCCATCCACACTGAGAGCCCCCCCCCCCCCCCCCCACCTCATTGATACAGTAATCCACACAGCCCCCACCCCACCCTCCTGCTCTCAGCTAGTATGCTGTTGACAGATTCACGTAGTTGTGTAGATATTTGCCATTCCCACTGCACATGTCCTTCAGGTCATTGAGCTATGAGACTAGCAACTGCTGCTATTCAGACTGTACGTTGATTGTGTGTATGGGTATTCTATGCACTGTGTGTTTTGTATAATGATGTGTGTTGGGACGGTGTGACCGGCCCAACAAGATTCTTTTCTCGTTTGGTGGGGAGATCAGCTTTTTGAACTGTCCTTGAATTTGGTGTGACAGCCCAGGGCCGTTCAAATACGCGGCACGTAAATGGCCTGTTGATGTTGTGTATCATAATGATTGGGAGTGCATGCTGTGCAATGTTGCCATAATTTCATTTTGGTTGCTTCAATATGTACAATATTTGCCAAAACATCCGGTCAATGCTGCATGCACCGTAGTCGACTATCATGTGCAGCATTGGCCAGATTTCTTTGGTGTGTATAGTACTTGCAATATACTAGGTGTTGGTTGCATGCTTTTGTGTTGACTACGCTTCTCAGGTTCATACTAGTCTGCATGTCAAATTAGTGGATGGTGCTGGAAAGGTTCTCATGGTGATTGGAAAATCCCCTCATTACACAATCCACTTCTCTGGTCTACATGCAATCAAGTAACCATGGTTACTTGGTGTGCTCCACTGTCCGAACAGTGCTCAACACACATAGACTAGTAGGGCAGAGCTGTCCACACAAAGGGGAGAGGGGAAGTTGTGTTGCAAGTCTGAGTTTCAAGTATTACTGCGAAATGCTACGATCATCAGGCATCGTAGTAATACGTAAAACTAAGAGTGGCGACACAGCTTCCCCTCTCCCTTTTTGTACATGTATATTTAATGTACTTCGAAGTACATGAAGGTCAAAAAGAATGGTTCCACCAATTATACATACGTTGTAACGCTGCGTTTCATGCACGTAGCTAAATGCTAAGGCAATCATCAGACAACTAATGCTTTTGTCGCGGGATAGCTTGTTCTTATTGTGGGAGATACGCATGGGCATGTAGAGGAGGTGTGAGTTATAGATGCAGGGCATGCATGGGAAGAGCGAGTGATAAGAATTACATCACTGGATGGGCATGCGCAGTAGGCGCGAACTATGCATGGAGCGTGCAGAGGCGGAGAAACCACCAGGGAGGACAAGGGTAAGCCATGGGGGCACTGGGCAGGGGGTGTGATGTGTGGCGGTGGAAGAACACTGTGGTGTCCACATTCAACAGCCGCGGGTATTCAGAGGTTGTGGCGGTGATAGTGGTAGCACGCGGTGGCTATGTCACGGCAGAGATTAATGTATATTATGTATGTATATTCCAATACATGTAGCAACTATGAACTATGTCTGATTGCTCTGGACCGCCCTCTGACTCCTTTCACATCAACACCATGCAGTATAGTATGTAGACAATTTTCATAGGAATATAACACGAAATCAGAGGAACCGATGCCAAGTTCTTTTCGCTCCGGGATATAAATTTTGGAAGAACCGGTATCCGGAACAGTGATGGGATATGCGTTATTATGCGAGAGTATATTCATGGATATTGGCCTCGGCAATTATTATCGTTCACCGGATTGTCCAGAAATCCACACGCACACGCACACCCACACTGTATAAATCCGCCCCCCAACCCCCAACCCACACACACACATTGAATAATGCCATTAAGCGCGATGCACAATATCATTTCTGCGATGCGATTAGCGTTGAGCGAAAGTCTTTTTCGAAGTGCACGAAGAGTCTTCGATGCACGGAGCATCGTATCAGGGCATGCACAGTCCAAAACTGCACGCGAGCTGTCACGAGCGCCCGCCGTGTAGAAAGTGATATTCATCGCTCGTCGCAGAAATTGAACTACTCAACTTTCCGCAATAAAACCTGCGATGGAGCTGGGAAAACCTGTGATTCAAAATTTAGCAGAAACAACTCTCGATCACGTCGCAGAAGTGATATTGTGCATCGCGCTTAACACACACAAACACTCTCTGAAACAAGCCACAGCACCTGCCCCACCCCTCCCCCTGCAGACACTCACAAATCGGCAACAGCCACCCCCCCCCCCCCCCCCCGCACACACACACACACCATGTACCATGCCCAGACATGCCCATTGCGGAAGCGATGATAGCGAACAGCTATGTTAGACATAGCAACTTGTGCACCCACAGAGACACGCACACACAACCGAGAACAGCAGAAAATCAGTGTTCTTGATGACATGACACAAGAACCATGTGAGAATAGCACACAAAAACACTGTCCAGATAAGAAGCAAATCATGTGTATGTTAACTACAGTGTTAAAAGCAGCGGCAATTGTTTGCCACATCAACGAAATCCAAATATAGAAGGCAGTCGTGGAGCGTCGACTTGAACATTTCAGCATGCCAGACTGAGGGATGCCAACTGCATCATAATTAGGGCTCAAACGGTCACGGTTTAACCCCTAAGGCCACCCTTTCTTTTTTCGTTGTTTAACGTCCGCGCCCGCGTACCTTTTTGCCTCCGACCGGAAAAAAAAAACAAGAAAGTAGTAGTAAATATGCGAAGTTGTGAATACATGATTGTGTAGTTTCACAGTGTACGCGCGCCGATCATGACCTTAAACTTATAATCTTGTCTCCCGGGCATGCCTTTGTCTTGTGTTCTTTTTCTTTTTTTGTTGGCTTTTAAATATCGTACGCGTATACGGTGTGTGTCCTAGTAAAAATCCAGATGTAATGAATTCATGACATGCTAACTCCATGCTATGTACCTGTTTTGTTGGATTCATCAGGCATGTGCTCCAATGTACCATCAAAGAGTGTTGTTCTATGCCTGCAAGTGCCGTTAGACCCAGAAATATTGTATATATCACATGCTTTACTGGTCAAAATGTTTGATTGGGGTTTCCAGTTTTTGGAATGGGCTTTTGTTTTTTTTCCGCCCTCCCGCGTACCTTTTCGCGAAAAAAAGGACGTTAAACAATGAATTAACAAAGGGTGGCCTAACGGTTAACTGCTAAGCTAACGATCGGTTTAACGGCTATAACCTATAAGCCACGGCGATCCTGCGGACTCTTTTTTAACCGTATATTTGACTATACTCATTCAAACAATGTACCCTATCCAGTACAACTCACACATGTACATTCTCTTGCATGCTCATTCATACATACTCTCACACCAAGAGAGCAGATATGACCGAGTTCACAGCCCAGAAATTGCAAACGCGTGCGACAGCCTGCGAAAGTGCATACTTTGCAACGACCTGATCCTCGAAAAATTGACTGAAAAGTTACTGCGTAACCGTTATCTTTATCGGTTAACCGTAAATTCTTCGTAACTGGTCTGCAACCGGTTAATCGGACTAACCGTTTGAGCCCTAATAATTATTACGGCCTAGAACCAACATTTCCTAGAAACAGAGATTGTAGCCTTGCGTGGGCATTTCCTAGTAACGGGATACCGCCTAGAACCAGCATATCCAAGCAATAGGTTAGAAATGTGTGTACAACGCACCTCTGGAGAGATGTCGTGAATGGTTACCCATATCAGCCTGTGGTGCATAATTATATAAACCATCGAGTCAGCCAATGCACATGAATGTGACAATGATCTAGCTGTGTGTAAATACATACACCAGCATTACTCTGCTGAGTACAATATTAACCTGTTCAGCACGAAGGACGTAATAATACGTCATTCAGAATACCACTGCACCACGGAGGACGTAATATTACGTCCTGAGTGTACATCGCGCATATACGCGATTTGTCTGGATCGCGTGCGTTCAAACTATCGTAACTCAGTCAATTCTTGGTCGATTCTCACGATCGAAGTATGGATCTGGAAGAGAAAACTCTCAGCTTGCGATAGAAACAATCCCCGAAGCGATACGACCCCGGGTTGTTGAGATATGCGACTCGACACGGCAAATTCAAAGAGAAGTTTTTGCGCGATCTGCAGAACGCGTATTTTGCATTTTCGATCATTTTTGCGCTACCTGCTGCCATGGAAACTAGATTCAAATGATGGTGGCGGATCTCAGGAGTCCTCAAAAAAAATTTGAGCTCGATACGAGCAAGGAGGGCGAAATGGCAGCTGAGGATTTGGTCTCTTGCCCGTGCTCAAGTCTGTCGAGCGCGTGGGTGAAGTTTGCCAGACTGTAGCATGGGCGTTTAGTTTCGCTCCGAGCTGAGTTTGGAACTAGTTTGCTCCTCGTCTCAAGACCTTTCCAGGAAGCTCAAGATCGTGGAATTCGTCCAAGGGAAGGTAAAGTTATCGATCCTTGAACAGGTAGTACTTTCATAGGAAAAACGCCACTTTTGCAGGTGTTGCCGTGGGGAGGCATTCAGGTAGCGTCGTGCTCAAAAGGTTAAAACAATATCTGTGCTTAGACCTCGTGTTCAGCGAATGCGGGTTTGCAGCAAACAACACAGGGCCATGTAAGGTGGATGGGGCAAGGATACCTTTGGTCAAGATATTGCTGCTGCTGCTGCCGACTGTGACGCCTACAGGTGATGGTAGTTTGGCAATATCTTTGTTAGGAAGTCCAGCTGTAATGTCGGTGCCTGGGAGTTGGACACGGAGAGAGAGAGAGAGAGAGAGAGAGAGAGAGAGAGAGAGAGAGAGAGAGAGAGAGAGAGAGAGAGAGAGAGAGAGAGAGAGACAGAGAGAACGAGAGAGAGCAAGAAATCCAACGCGATAGTGTATTACTGCTAGAGAAGAGGTACAGTTTTCTTGGAGACAAGAATGCAATGATACTGAGAAGGAGAGGAGGTAGCAAACAGAAAATTTATGTGCCTTTCAACCTAAATCTCCTGCGTGCAAGTGCAAATGAGAACTGGCTCAATAAGACTCGGGTATGTGTGAAACACACACCATTAAATTTTGACCATTTGACGCCCCTCGCTGGAGGCGATGATAGCGATGCTACAGCAGAAGCCATAGCAGTTTGTGATGGTGTTGCACCATTCAAAAGCTTGCAAGGCTGAAGAATTGACCGCCACTATTCAACCTGGTCTACACAACACAGCTATGAAGTGGCTTTTTCTGGCCAGTGAATTCCTACTTTTTGGTCTTTTCCCTTTTTTTAACGCACACACATCACACCACATACTCCGGCATGCACTGGCTGCTGGTAACCACCCAGGAGAATGAAAGAAAAGTCAGGAGGAGTCTGAGAAAGAGAAGAAAGACTTGTGTGACCATAATCGTCAGGAATTGAACCCGCAACCCATCGATTGGAAATCGCTGCACCATATGGCACACACACACACCCGACGCACACACGCACGCACACACACACACAAAAGGCACGCAAAGCTTACCGTGGGTTTATCACCTTGCACTCGACGCTGATAGCCCTCGCCAAACACTACCATATTCTCAGGCAGTGTTTCTTGACTGGTCAGATGACAGCATGCTCCCAGAACACAACCACTAGTCATGGCTCACTTCACACCAATATGACCTAGTGAACAAATGACATACACACACACACACACACACACACACACACACACACACACACGCGTGCGCGCGAGCATGCACACACACACACACACCACTCTCACACACACATACACACACACACACACACACACACACACACACACACACACACACACACACAAAGTAGCATACAGAAATACAGAGGAATAAGGCAAGGAGCCTTCGAATTTATAACATGCGTTATACGAACCATGAAACCGACAAACGTGTCAGATACGACAATACACATCCTAAAAGTCGAGCATGATGTTAACACACCCAGACACACAGCCACTATATGGCATAAGTGAAGACACCAGCCAAACTAGCTGGTACACACATACACACACAAACACACGTATGCATGGGCGCATTCACGTACACACCATGTACCATGTATACGCCCGTCGCAAGAGAAGCACGCAAATCTGCAAATGCACTGGATGTGCACCCACAGATTTTCTCTCATAGCAACGATAGCGAACAAGTTCTGAATGAGACAGATCAAGACTTGCGCCAGATAACTGTCTAATCCACACAACTGGCAAAGCCATGTGAATCGACCCCCAATGCACACCTGGTCTACACCACACGGACTACATGGGCATAAACCGGCCAAGACAGTTACCTATGCACACCCTACACTTGCTGGGGTAACCAGTATAGAGAGCATACCTGCTTTGATAGAAGCAGACACTAGATGCACTGGTACCTTGAAGTGAAATTGGAGTTACTTTACCAACCAGCCTCGGCACGTACACACACACACGTACACACACACGTACACACACACACGTACACACGTACACACACACACACACGCACACGCACACACACCATGTAGTCATGTGAAACAGTCGGTGCACGGAAAATCGGTCGCTAACGGTAGATGGTCGCCTACAGCAGAGGTCGCTAACGGCAGATTTGACTGTATGTATGGCCATCGTAAGAGAAACATGCCAATCTGAAAATGCACTGGATGTACACGCACAGATTTTATCTTAGGTATAGTTAGGGGCCATCCGTAAATATAGATATTTATTTAGAAACGAAAACTAGTCGTTTAGGGGGGGGGGGAGGGGGTTGAGCGCCTGTTCGTTTCTCAAAAAATATCGATGCGCAGTTTGTATGTGTGGGCACGTCCAGAAAAGAAAAGAAAAAATATCGATACTAAGCATCGTTTGTATGTGTTTGTTTTTGAGGGAGGGAGGGGGGTTGAAGAGAAACGACTAGTTTTCGTTTCTAAATAAATATCGGTCTTTACGGATGACGCCTTATACTAGTACAATGTAGTAACAATAGCGGATCAAGAGTGGAACAGATCAGGACTAGCGCCAGATACCAGCCTAATCCACTCAACTGGTAAAGCCATGCGAATCGACCAACAATACACTCCTGATGTACACCACACTGAGCACATCGGAATAGGACAGCCAAGACAGTTACCTGTGCACACCCTACACTTGCTGGAGTAACCAGCGTAGTCAGCATGCTACTCTGACATAAGCAGACACTAGAAGCACTGATACCATGAAGTTTTACACAAACACACACACACATGCACGCGTGTGTACACGCACACAAACACAGACACACATGCACATACACCCCCCCCCCCCCCACACACACACACATACACACGCACGCACATAGCGGCATTAAATTTGCAGAAGGAACAATGCACTCACCAGGTATGGGTGATCACTTGCTCCTCGATCTTGCCTGTTCATATGCTGGCTACGCAAACCGCTTCAACATGTGCAGTCTGTTCAGCATCAGCCCTTCTGCTGTTATCCTTAGCCTCTGCAATCTTGTCAACCGGCGCATCAGCCTCAACTGCACTTGTATATTCTGCGTTGATCATGGCAAGGTACACTGCTGCCTCTGTACAGCAATACAGAAACAGTAACACAAGTTCATGTTACTGTAATGAAACCATATTCATCTCCATACAAGCAAAGGATACTACTGTCTTTTTGACTCAATCCCCCACCCTCCAACACACATACACACACACACACACACACACACACACACACACACACACACACACACACACACACACACACACACACACACACACACACACACACACACACACACACACACCTGTGATAGGCAATGTTAGCCGGATTCGCGGCCGCATCACCTGACGTATTGGGGAACACAAACTCAGTATGGTGTCAGCACAGTTCATTGTATGTAAAGTGGCACTTTCCCTCATCACCACGATTGAGAGAGCACCGAACACCCCCCCCCCCCCCCCCTCTCTGTTTCCAGCGAGTGATTATTTTTTCCCAATTTTGCATCCCACATCAAATCGCGAAAGTAGGCGCGCACACGAACATGCACACACACACACACACACACACACACACACGAACACACACAGTCACGCTTATTCAAGAGTGGTTGACCCCTGCTATGGCAGGTCAGGGGTATCGGACACATTACGGTCACTATGGTAATGACCGTACCACTCTTTGCACCGAGTATCCTGTAAATCATTAACATGCACTTCACTGGGCTCTGAATTTCCAAAATGTTCAAGTCAGGCACCCCTCCCTGACGCGTATAATGTACTTCAGACGGCTAACCGTACCCGGCACACTAAATTGCCTTCCGACGCCACTGCAGACACATTACATCACTTAGTATTGACAAAGAAGTTTAGAAAAGATGAGTTTGGACGCTTCTTGCAGCTTTATTACTTATGCAATTATGTTGTGGCCTAAGAGCCACACTTCAAATTCCACTGCTTTCTGCACTTTACTCAGAATTCCAATGGAATATTGGATTCATAAAATGGATACGCTTAGAATAGGAGACAACATCATCCCCAACGTAAACCGAATCTCATTCAATTCCAACCATTAAACAATTCGAGCAATTAACTCGCCTTATAAACGCTATCCGCTGATCTGCTACGCACATCTCCCAACTCCATTGTGTGATACGCCAGCATCAGTGATTAATGATTAGCGTGGCACTTGCGTAACCCATCAGTACGCTGCGCAGAGCAACCAGCAGTTCGCACATAAATGTAGCAGCTATCGTACTGCAGTTCCAATCATTCAGTTCATGCTACCAACGTCCGAGCGTCTTCATCTTCAACAATAAAATATGCAATTTACACACAAATTGCGAAGGACAAAACTGTGAGTCTAGTTCTGTCCAAAGATTGAATGCAATTAAATAATTCACACAATAAATGAACAATTTTTCATGACGACACGAGCATCCGTATCGGCATGCATGCCTTCCCTAGTACGAGTACGAGTCGAACACAGCAAAGTCTGGCCCGGTCAAGACGACCACAGTCAGTGTACAAGTACAAAACTGCTTCACACAGTGTAAGTAGTGTAGATCTAGAGTGGTGACAGAAAGAAAGAAAAAAGGTAGCAACAGACATAGACCTACGTACATGTAGGCTGATTGTTGCCGTTGTTGTGACACAGCCAGTTTTGAGTTTGAGTGTTACGGGACTGAAAAAGTCCAATGACTTTGACTGTTGTCACATTACGAGATATTTAAAGGGGAAGTTAAGGCAAAAATTAAAATTTCACCAGCTGTAGTGATCGGGGTGCTGAGTCGAATGGTCTTGGTCCGAGAAAGCTGAGACGCTCCCTTCCTACTTGAATCCCAATCGAACTCGCGCACTTCCACCGAAACTGGGTGACTGCGCCCTACTAGATGGGGATTTGTATGCAAAATCTCACTAAATGCGCCATTTCGCTCTTATAAAAGCACGGATGACCGCGATTGGCCCATATGTTGTAGTCTTTTGGACGCTGAGTCGACTGGTTTTGGTCCGAAGAGGCTGCGATGCAGCGTTCCTCCTTTATTCCCAATCGAACATGCCCAATCGAACATGGTTGAACAAGTGGTCACGTGCTCCTGGGTGCCCAAATCACCTGGTCACCACGCCAGCAGGCGACAAATTTCACACGAAGGTTCAACTCGAGTGACAGGACTGCACCCAAAAAAGGTCAAACAGGCTAGTAAGTAATTAGTGGTACCCTGCAGGCACGGTGACCAGGTGACTGGTGTACGCAGGAGCACATGACCGCTTCTTCAACCATGTTCGATTGGGAATAAAGGAGGAACGCTGCATCGCAGCCTTTTCGGACCAAAACGAATCGACTCAGCGTCCAAAAGACTACAACATATGGGCCAATGGACCGTATGCGTGTTAAAACAAAATGGCGTCACGATTTATTGAAAGTGGTATAGTTGGTGGAACGAGTTCACAAAACCATTTGATTACATACTTAATAATTCAAAGTATAATCTTCTTTTTGGCATGATATCGTTGCCTGATCGTTCGCTTTTGTTTGTTGTGAGATCTGTTGGCGTATGGAGATAACTCAAAGAAGCTTTCTGCTGGGCTGGTGGTAACGTGAGTGTCACCATGAGCGAAAGTCCTGATCTGTCCTTTGCTGATCGATTTCGCCGTCGCCGCACTGTAGGTGGAACTACATGTTGTGTGCCTGGCTGTTATAGCAATTCTAGTGAGGACAGAGGAGTGGTAAGCTTTCATAAGTTCCCCCGTGACCGTCAAACCCGTCGTGTTTGGAGGAATCGCTGTGCACGTCCCGTGACATGGAGGCCATCGTCTTCCACACGAATTTGTGGGGATCATTTTGTTGACAGGCGGCCAACCAACAACAACCCTCATCCATCCATTTTCCCACAGCGGCAAGAGAGACGGCATGGAGCCAGCACGTCACCCCGACGCCCTTTATCAAGGCCAGAAACTCTGAGTCTAGATAGTACACAGTCGTCGCCCGGATCACTGCTGGCATCCGACGATGACGATGGCAGTGATAGATTGTCGCCCGCATCATTCGATGACCGCGGTCCTGACGGCATGCCAGCAGGCTCAGATAGAGACTCAGAAGGTGCAGACAGTGCTCATGGTGACGAGCTTGCTTTACTGAGAGAGCAAGTAAAGCTTCTGAAGGGTACGCAATTCAGCCTGAATCGCTATAAGAACGACGACGCTGCATTTCGATTTTACACTGGCCTGCCGTCCTATGCCACGTATAAGGTCATGTTTGATTGCTTGTTTGGCCGCTGTGCTGAGAAAATGCAGTATTATGGAGCCAAACCTGGCGTATCTGGTGCCAGACGCCTTAGTCACCGCAGTCTTGATCCAGAGTTTGAATTGTTTGTTGTTCTTGCCATTTTGAAGAGAGGCTTTCAACAGCGGGACCTCGGTTATCGTCTTGGCATCAGCCAGCCCACAGTTAGCCGTATTTGGAGCACTTGGCTCAGAGTCTTGCATGGCCGGTTGGTGCAGGTGCCGATCTGGCTGCCAAGATCGAGTATCGAGGAAGACCTTCCGGAGTGTTTCCGAGAGACATTCCCATCGACACGCGTGGTGCTGGATTGCACTGAATTGTTTTATAGAGATGCCGAGTTCGTTCCGGGCACAAAGTGAAGCATTCAGCAGTTACAAACATCACAACACCGCGAAGGCACTAGTAGCCATTGCTCCACACGGTGCTGTTGTGTTTGCCTCCAAGCTGTACGGTGGGAGGCAAACCGACAAGGCTATTGTGCAGCATTCCGGTCTTGTATCGAAGCTGGAGTCCGGAGATGTTGTGATGGCTGATCGCGGCTTCCTGATTGGGGACTTGCTGCCAGACGGTGTATCTCTCGTGACCCCTTCCTTCATGGAAGACAGGCCACAGCTTCCCCTTCCAGAGGAGGCTGCATCCAAGAAGCTGTCATCATGTCGGATTCACGTTGAACGCATCATCAGACGCATAAAGGTATGCTGTGTATCATCTTAGGCATGTAAATGGAATGAAAGCCTTTCTAGAGTGGCATCATATTGTATCTGTTTCGTTTGTCTTCCTTGCCTTTAGAAGAAAATAGTTTTGTTGTTCGGGATGAGTCATCTTCGTACTAAAGCATATAATGCATATTGGTGTTCAGTTTACTTACAGTTCTTTCACAATACTATGCATGCACACTTCCATTTTGCTTGTTGTATAGCGTGCTGTCAGATCACGGTTTATCTTTGCAGAAAACAGTTCCAAGTGATATTGGTAACATTTCACTCCCGCACATTGCCCCGAGAAAATGTTGGTCCGCATAACATCTAACGTCTTCTGGCTTGACTTTGCTTTCTTCTGCAGATATTTCGTATCCTGAGGAATGTGTTCCCACTAAAGATGAAGCCATCGTTAGAATTGATCTGGCAGATTTGTGCTCGCCTTGTAAACTTTCTATCACCGGTCATTGCTGCAAAGGAGATCAACATACAATCAAGTGACCAGTCACCCTCACCATCACCTGTTACGCCTGTTACTCCTGTTACGCCTGTTACTCCTGTTACGCCTGTTACTCCTGTTACGCCTGTTACGCCTGTTACGCCTGTACGTCGCCGTTCTGTACCTTCACCTGCCCAGCAACATCAATCTCCAGCCGCCACTTCTGTGCGATCTTCTCCAGTTGTGTCACCGGCGATGCCACCGCCAGCTGTTGTTAGTAGACCTGGTCCACCCAGTCTCCCGTGGGGCGGTGGTGATGTGACTTGGAATGGAAGAAAGGTAAACAAGCTGCAATAGAAACTCGGGTTGTGAGCCAATAATAAGCTGCGATTGGTTTGCTTCTTCTCTGTATGGTGCATGAGTACATGTGCTCATGTACGGTTTAGTCTTTGTACAGACAAAAATGGGTTCGTACCATTTTGTTATGTATCACGTGATACTTACTATGGCAGTAGCCAATATAGATGCACATAACAAGGCTGAGGTTATAGTGAGATACATGTATTGGGCTCTCAGCTCTGGCAAAAAAATGCACGGCATGCAGATTGGGTACAAGATTGCTTCGATTCGCTGGGGAAGCCCTAGGACTCTTTGTTGACTCCATGCATACTTGATACTTTAAACAATGTCATACTGATTAAATATGTTCTTCTACTGTGTTTCTGAATTCTGTTTCATTAGGTACATATCAGCAATACGTGTCCTATGGATAATATTGTCACATTTCTGCACCTGCTGATGGTAATCGATAATGAACTTGGTCGGACTCTAGCACAGCGATGTACACTGCTTGGTGACGTCCACCGAGCCATGCTGTTGGAAGAGTGGAGCGTTGCGAAGATGCGCTGGCTTGCTGACGCTGGTATTGTACCCAGTGCAACAGGTTTTGTCAATGCATATGGCAGTGAGGTCTTGTTTGGTCTGAAACCCTTGGCGGTGTTTTTTGACAAGTTCTTTCGAGTCAACTTGCTCCAGCCCCGTCTGCTTATCTGTTGTTAGTGAACATCGATCACCCTTTCCTGTGCTTGCCAATCAAGCTGGCATCAACTTCAACTTAAAAAATGCTCTCCGTGATTGGCAGAAGCCACCTCCAACTCCATGCAAGGACATTGATAGCAGTGAAGATCTGCCAACCGGAGTAATTTCCATTCCGTCTGTTGGATGTCCTGGGGTGAGAACGTTTCAACGGCGTGTTTTCATCCACGGAGCACCCCCTGTATTCGCGTTCTCACTTGTTGGCTTCGCTCTAGAAAGTTCCGCCATGTTAGATGTGGAGATCGAGATCCTAGATCACCGATACAGGCTATTTGCCCTCACATTCCACAGTACTCAACGTGACCATTACATTGGAGTTGAGCCAAGAGAGCCATTCGCTCAAAGCCTTCAGTATTTAGTCGACGTGGCAGAAGGCTCGGGCATTCTACACGGCAAGAACATTTTGCACCGCGATTTGAAACCACGTAACATCTTGGTCACGGCAGGGCGAGCCAAGATAGCTGATGTTGGTTTGGCCCGCACTCTTCATGGTAGTCAAGGTGCGGACGTCACGGCTTTGACCCGGTGCCCCGGTACGCCTTATTTTATGCCGACAGAGAGCCTACAAGTAGGAACAGCATACGACGAGAAACTGGTTGTGTTTTCTCTAGGAGTGGTGATGCTGTCGCTGCTTGTGGGACGACCACCATCCCCAACTGAAGCTACTGTTCTCCTGGAAAATGGAACGCGGAGATCAGTTCCGGAGGGTCGCCGACGCAAGGCAGACCTGGATCGACTGGGCTCGGATCACCCACTACATTCTCTAATCTTGTCGTGTCTGCATGACAATCCTGGGTCTAGACCCACATCGGCTGATGTTCACATGCACTTACTGCAGATCTCACCTCACTCTATGGTATGGATGTACTCACATAGTATAACATGACTTTGTACTCACTGTGCTGTACTGTTACCATACAGCCTAGCTGGGTATACCGTAAAGTCGCGGATAAAAGCCGGGTTTGCATACAAGCACATCGCGGATAGAAGCCTGAAAATCAAACGGGCCAAATGCATATAAGCCTGTCGCGCGTAGAAGCCTGGCTTCTATGCAAGCGCGAATCGGGTAGGTCAAGAGTGCATGTACGGTGCATAGTAAAACTGCCGTCATACCGGTAGTCAGTGGTAGATCTACGCATGTCGCGCGTAGAAGCCTGGCTTCTATGTGCATACAAGCCTGGCAAAAAATATCAGTGATGCATATAAGCATGGTTTGCATACAAGCCTGGCTTGCATTAAAGCCCGATGCAGAAAGCGGCTTATGTGCTTATAAGCCCGGCTTTTATCCGCGACTTTACGGTACATGAACTTTAGCCTGCCTGCGCGAGAAATCCAAAAAAATCCTCGTGTTCTGGCCTGTGCAACGAACTAAAATTCCCCCGAATAAAACAATTAAGTGCGGGAAACAATGCAAGCCGTGACCGCGGCTTGCATTTTTTGTATCAAGCAGCAAAGCGAAAGCTGGTGATGAGCCGCGGCCTCGCTGGACCAGCTCGTAATGATGACGGTTCATGCCGTGGATGATGTGTGGCGGAGCGGCAGTGGAACTCAGCCCTTAGGCAAAGGAAATTTTTCATTAAATTTGTTTATGCTGCATAGATGGAGAGCTGCACACTCAGGCGTATGGACTCTCTCCTACAGTGTAGACGTACTGCTAGTGTACTGGCATTACAGAAGACACGAAAAACGAGAACATAATTATGGCGAGAAAGCAATTACTGGCTAAGAATTGCCCTAAGACTTACCGCGTCTCAGTGCTCCATACCAGGAAGTAGTACAATACCTACTCCCTGCTCCATACGAGTGTTTTCTCCTCATTCTCTGCATCCTTTACCCCAGGAGTCTCGTCCATTTAGCGGCTCAAATGCTTGAGCTCCGGATAGCGGAAAATAGCTCGTCGTCCATTAGCGGCTCTAATAGTACCTGGTCTGAAGTGTCGCAGTCTAGCAACTATGATTTTTTCCAGGAGGGTAAGGGTTGCAAACCCAAAAAGACCCTAAGCTTCGTCTATCAAACAAAACAACTGCCCTAAAAAATGGAAGAGGAAAAGAGTGAGCGAGCTGGTCTGAGCGCGCTACTTTTCCAAAAATAGAAGCTGAAACTGTGAAAGCCATCAAAGTCAAAGCATTCTGGCTAGCGCGTTTGTGTACGTCACGCGCGCTAGCGCGCTAGTCGCAGCAAACGCTCGCAGGCCAGAGTTGGCGCTATTTGTGCTGTTTGCCGCACGCGGCAGCTGGATGGATCACGTGATCCAAGCTGACAAAATAATAAGGTCCGATGGTTCAGCTACATAATCATTGTGCCACAAGCGTCACTGATTGCAGATTCGCACGCTCACAGCTAGATAGCTGAGCATGAGACTTTGAGAGCTGACCAGGGCCCGGACTGTGGTACTAATAGTAATACTGCACAGCGCTAGCGCGGTAGGTCTACACAGCAAATGCCTGGCTCGGTCAAGACGACCACGCACTCAATATGCAAAACTGCTACAGCACTTTCAAGTACTAGTCCGTAGTTCTTGAAAGAAAAAGGCAGCATCAAGCCATCCGACCGAGATTTTTGCCGCTGTTGTGACATAGCGAGCTTCGCGTACTTTGAGTGTTACGGGACAGACAAAGTCCGTTGCCTTTGAGTTTGGCTTTGTTATCACATTGCGAGATTTTGAAGTTGAGTGTGGAATTTACCACTTTTCTTCTTCGTTGAGAAAGCAGCAGCAGCAGACGTACATTTTACTACCGTACTGGCAATATATGTTGCCGCAGTGAGGCCATGAAGCGTTACATTGGCACATGTTTGCCGCACGCAGGGCGTTACATGCAAAGTCGCACAGGAGCCGTTACACAGGTTTCTATTGCCGCAGTCTCTGATCGGCTCGAGACATACATGTAGCTCATCGGAATCAGTGCCCAATTCTCCTTCGGATAAGCCATACTTATTTTTGGCGTTCAGTTTCCCTTTTTATTACACTTGCGGTAAGTAGCGAGAAGTGGTGAATATTACTGGTGAATACTGAGCTTGTATACAAACTCCCATCTCTCCCCACACAACACTCCAGACTTGTATTTTGCATATAACAGGTACTTCGATGACGAGAATATAAACTGGTATATAAACTCCTTTTTTTTTAGGATCACGCTAGGGGAGTTTGTATATCAGCTCAGTATAAGCATAATACAGTTGAATATGGGAACTATAAACCAATATACAAACCTCGGCTTCGCCTCGGTTTGTACGATTCATGCCTGCGATGCTGCACCGCTGCTTTGCATAATAGAATTATCATGATTGGAAGCTGTGGCCTTAAAGGGGAAGTGCATCGATTTTTCAAGTAGGGCTCAGATGAAAGACAATTGGATATCGGTTTCGATGGTATATCTCTCGCTTGCGTACGGCAAGGGAAACTTGCCATATCGCCGATTTCCTGATCCCGTTTCCATGGCGACTACAGGTGATGACGCACATTCTGCTTAGCTCCGTGAGAGAGAAGGTCGATCACTGCAGAATTGTGTCATTTTCAGTTGTCTTCTTGTATTCACGAAGTGAAAGAAGTACTGTGTTCAATGCTGTTAGTGCCGTGAACTGTTTATTAGTAGTCCTATCCGTTGTGTACTGGGACGTGACACCGACAGGGGAAAGCTGGAGTGCGGAGACGTTAGCTGGCAAGCGAAAATCGTGACGAACCAAGTGCTGAAATCTTGGTTGGGACAAATCAAACGTTCAGCATTTACCTCAACCAAGGACCATGCCGTTTGCTCTTTCCACTTCCTGAAGATGGATGCGCTGCCTGCTGGAGTCTCTCCTATCTCTCGTAACATCTTCTGAAGCCAGGTGAGACGACGAGTAGTGGAGATTAGCGAACGAAATAATGTCGTATGTTTTGACATTTTTGCTGAACATTTCTCAGGAGAGATGGCGAATACCAAGCATCTTCTCCTAGTCTAGAGAAACCATTTCGTAGGCTACATTCCGCCTAGGGAAATGGCTGGGGAGGACACATTTGGAGGAGAACGAAGTATGTGATCTTGTTTATGTTGTTCTTTGGTATTGCAATCTTATGTTTGACGAACATACGGCATGGTGCATAGTTGGTCGTTGAGTGCCTGCATGTGCATGTATAAGTGTGTGCTGATAAACACTTCCTATGCAAGAATCTGACACTCATGCTCTCTTTCTTTCTTGCAGTATGTGCGCACGTGTGTGTGTGCGTGTGTGTGTGAGTGTGTGTGTGTATGTGAGCTTTTCTTTCATTCTCCTGGGTGGTTACCAACAGCCAGTGCATGCCGGAGTATGTGGTGTGATGTGTGTGCAGGGGAAAAAATGAAAAGACCAAAAATAGGGATTCACTGGCCAGAAAATGTCACTCCAAATAGCTGTATGGTGTAGACCAGGCTGAATAGTGACGGTCAATTCTTCAGCCTTGCAAGCTGTTGAATGGTGTAATCCCAGCACAAGTTGCTATGGCTTCTGCCGTAGCATTGCTATCATCGCCTCCGGCGATGGGCGTCAAAGGTCAAAGGTCAGGTTAGGTGTGAGAGAGAGAGAGTGTGTGTGTGCAGGAGCAGCGTGGAGCATGCCAGTGTGATCGCTGTGGCATTCTTGCCCGTCACAAGTGTGTGGCTCAGCCCCCAACGACAGTGGAGCCGTGTTGTGGTGAATAATGTGTGTCCCGCGACCGCTGCTTCCGTTCGGTCCAGGGCAGGAATAGACACCGCTGCTGAAGCTCTCCCCGGCCGTACGTCAGTCTCGTGGCAGATGACCCGAACTCTCATTTTGTGTGTGTGTGTGTGTGGTGTATTTATGTGTGTTGCTCCCTACGTAGCCGGACAAACTCTTGTTTTTGTGTCCCGGGCGCCATGGGGCGGCGTTCTCCCATTCTCTCTCCACTGCCCCTCCGGGCCCACGTGGCTGTGACTCGACAGGGCAGGGCAAGTGTGTGTGTATGGCGCATGGTGTGTGCTGGCATGTCTGTATAAATATGTTGGACAGGAATTTGTTCACCCACAACGTTGACGGAAAACCATGCTAGGTGTTGCTGGAATGTATGGAGTCTGCGAGCACTTACAATAACTTGCGTCATGTCACAACAAAGAACGGTGCAGTGTTTGACCCTCATGTAAACATGATGGTGATGGTACCTCACCTAAGCTACCCATGAAGCTAGAAAGAACATCAGGTCAACAGAATTGTACCAGAGGAAAGCATCTATTGCCCGAACTTCTTCATATGAAATGAACAATACCCTTCTCCATAGAGACAACATGCAGATGAAGTGTATGGACAATACATTATAATAGGCCATTCACTGAGGGCATGGAATGATCTCTACGTGTAGATTGGATAGACACATGCACGTCTGCAAGGAAAGCATTTGTTCATGGGTTAGTTCATGGGCTGATTGAGTTCACATGGACTAAGTTCATATAATGCCATCTCTCCTGAGCAGCAAAATTTCAAAACATTCGACATTATTTCGTTCGCTAATCTCCGCTACTCGTCGTCTCACCTAGCTTCAGAAGATGTTACGGGAGATAGGAGAGTCTCCAGCAGGTAGCGCATCCATCTTCAGGAAGTGGAAAAAGCAAACGGCATGGTCCTTGGTTGAGGTAAATGCTGAACGTTTGATTTGTCCCAACCAAGATTTCAGCACTTGGTTCGTCACGATTTTCGCTTGCCAGCTAACGTCTCCGCACTCCAGCTTTCCCCTGTCGGTGTCACGTCCCAGTACACAACGGATAGGACTACTAATAAACAGTTCACGGCACTAACAGCATTGAACACAGTACTTCTTTCACTTCGTGAATACAAGAAGACAACTGAAAATGACACAATTCTGCTGTGATCGACCTTCTCTCTCACGGAGCTAAGCAGAATGTGCGTCATCACCTGTAGTCGCCATGGAAACGGAACCAGGAAATCGGCGATATGGCAAGTTTCCCTTGCTGTACGCAAGCGAGAGATATACCATCGGAACCGATATCCAATTGTCTTTCATCTGAGCCCTACTTGAAAAATCGATGCACTTCCCCTTTAAAAAAAAAAATACAGGTTTATATTTCCCATATAATCAACTGGTTAGGTTATATTATATACATATTACTGGTGAATATTACTGGTGAATATTACTGGTGAATATAAGCGGTGAATATTCAGCAATATGCACCACTTATGTAGATGGCCAATTGTATGTGGGTGAATATGGAATGAGGTATAAATCATAATACATGGGTATTGAGCACTCTTCGTACAGTGAAGCACACCACTTGACTGTCGACTAGTCACTGCTACAGCACTTTCAAGTACTACCGTGGTTCTTGAAAGAAAAAGGCAGCATCAAGTCATCCGACCGAGATTGTTGCCGCTCTTGCGACAGAACGAGCTTCGCGTACTTTGAGTGTTAGTAACTTACGGGACAGACAAAGTCCGTTGCCTTTGAGTTTGGCTTTGTTATCACATTGCGAGATTTTAAAGTTGAGTGTGGAATCAGCAGCAGACATTATGCTACTGTGGTAGGTAGTACTACAGTGGGAAAGGAGGAAAAGAGTTCGTTTATGATTGTACTAGTAGGTTTTGATTTGTGAACTATTCAGCCTCGTCATGGCGAGCAAAAAGAACACTAGTCGAAAGGACTATGTAGCGAAGCGATCAAGTCAGAATAGCGGTGAACGTGCAGCGACCGAGTCTGCCAGCACACAAGCAAGTCTTGCCACTGGTCAAGCAGATCAGGTAAGAAACATACCCGAGGCAGTGTGCAGGTTGAGAGATTTGCTAGTTGAGGAGTATGTAAGCGCTACGGTAGATATGGGAGAAGGCATGGTTGAGGAAGGGCTCAACGAACCCAGCGTTTCAGACGTGCAAGTGAGACTGATCATTTTGTCGAGACCCGAGCTCCGAGATCAGTTCAGTGAGGCGAGTTTTGATTCGATTGGCGACGTGTGGCGTGTGGAACATGTTTTCACACAGGCGGCCAGTAGCTTGGAGAATATCTCACTGGAAAGTCTCTTCGATCTTGATAAAGAGCAGATGCTGGAGTTCTCTAGCGGTGGTCGAACCTATCGCATCTTGGTTGTAGCCAGTGCTGGCTGCGGAAAAACATTCGCCTTGACGAAAGTGGCTCCATTGAAATGGGCCCGGGAAGAAATGTGGACGTCGTTTGACCTGGTGGTAGCGCGAAAGCTGCGACACGAGGAGGTGAGAAAAGCAACGAATATATGCTCTCTGCTTGGTGTGGAAGAGCAGGGA